TTTTGGTTGCAGCCATCATTGTTTGGTGGGCCTGGGCTGGATTTGAATCTACCAGCCTAGGTGCATACGGCTGGTGCCTTAGCCGCTTGAGCCACAGGCGCCAAGCCTCCTTTTAATTAATAAACATAAATTATTGACCACTAGGGGATTAAAGACATTCTCACTGTGAAAGAAATTATAGGCTGGGGACTGTACAGATTCATATATGACTATTAAAAAGAGCATGACATAAGTGCCCAAAAAGAAGTAAGAATAAAATTGTATAGGAAGAGGAGAAGGTAAAGTTAATTTGATTTAGAAGAAAGTGAGGTAAGGCTTCACAGACTTGATAGACCTTCAGGAGTAAGATTCAAAAGGTAGTACCTGAGGTATGCACAGGAAATTTAGAGAATAAGGAATAATCCAAGGTTCGAGTATAAGATTGTCTATGAAACTTCTGGACTGTAGAATACCTTAATATTAAATATGGATTACTTTTAATGCATTCAAAAGTTTCAAGGGTTAACATAATTAACAACTATATTTAGAAAAATTAACAGCAACAGTGTGGAGAAGGAATAGGAAGAAAGAAATGAGAGGCCAATTAGGGAGGTTGTAGCAATACTTACTATAGGCATGATGTGATAAGGCCAAACCATGGAACTGGATATGGACCAGAAAGAATGGCTCAACTTAAGAGATATTTAGAGCATGTACTTATTTAGAGGAATTAGTAAGTGACTGACTTGGGGAGGAGGAAGCAGGCAGGTAAGAACTGATTCCAAGATGAATAGATCAGAAGGATGGGTAAATTGTGATGCTTTAAAGGACACTATGGGTAGAGCTGGTTTTGATTGGAAAGATAATGGATTCTTTTTTAACCTACTTGAATTTGAGGGTCTAAAGGATGTTCACAAAGATGACTGTTTTGGGAGGAAATCAGAAATATGGAGCTGAAGTTTGGTTTGAGATTTCAGGATTAAAATCTAGATTGGGGAATCACCTCTTAAGAGTGATGGAAAGAGATGAGATTACACAGGGAAAGAGAAAAAGACAAGGCAAAGACCAGAAAGAGAAGGGAAGAGAAGTGAACAAGAACAGAAACCATCTCAGACAAAAGAGACCAAGAGATATTAAGTGGACTCAAGCCAGTCAACTTCACCTCCTGTAAATAACTCTGTGATAAAAAGATTTAGGGGGATGAGACATCAGACCATGTATTTCCATTGACTATGTGCTCCCTCATCCTGCTCACCTAGTTAGTTGAGATTTAGTCTGGTTCTCTAAAATTCGAATATGGAGCCACTCACTCAGCACACTGAAGTACTAATTTGTTAGCTCTGAAATATACATTCTTATATAATCTTGAAGATCCTAAAAGGATTTCTAGTGTCCTTACCATATTTCTTAGAGCTTCCTTACAAAGATCCAAACAGATAACTTTTGATGAATGCCTTAGACCTGTTAAAGCTGAAATTAGGTTAACAAGAACCATAATCTAGTTTCAAACTGACAAGTTGTTCCTTAACCTAAAGCTGACAAACTTTTTCTGACAGTTTTATTGAAATATTAGACAATTTTTTTGAAGTAATCTAGACTGTTTTTAACATGGATAACAATGCTTGTTTAGAAACCAAGGGTGGCCATGCTCACTCCCTAAGCAGTCCACTAAGTAATAAATGACCATTTAATTAGGAAATAAAAAATAACACACACACACACAAAAACCAACCAAACTAAAGAAGCCCAGGTAACATTAAAAACTAGGCAAGAGGCCAGGCACAGTGGCTCATGCCTGTAAACACAGCATTCTGAGAGGCCAAATGGGAGGATCTCATGAGCTTAGGAGACCAGCCTGAGCAAGAGAGAGACCCCATCTCTACTAAAAATAGGAAAATTAGCCAGGCATGGTGGTGGGTGCCTGTAGTCCCAGCTACGCAGGAGGCTGAGGCAGGAGGATCCTAGGAGCCCAGGAGTTTGAGGTTGCTGAAAGCTAGGCTAACATCATGGCCCTCTACCTTAAACAACAGAGACACTGTCTCAAAAAACAACAACAATAACAACAACAACAACTGGGTGAGACATGAATAGAAACTTTTCTTATTGGCTTGGCACCTGTAGCTCAGTGGCTACGGTGCCGGCCCTATACACCAGGGCTGGCAGGTTTGAAACTGGTCAGGGCTTGTCAAACAACAATGACAACTACAACAACAACAACAAAATAGGGTGGCAACTGTGGCTCAAGGAGTAGGGTGCAGGCTCCATATACCGAAGATGGTGGGTTCAAACCCAGCCCCAGCCAAAAACTGCAAAAAAAAAAATAGGCAGGCATTGTGGCGGGCAGACACCTATAGTCCCAGCTACTTGGGATGCTGAGGCAAGAGAATTGCTTAAGACCAAGAGTTGGAGGTTGCTGTGAGCTGTGATGCCACAGCACTCTACCAAAGGCAACATAGTGAGACTCTGTTTCAAAAAAAAAAAAAGAAACTTTTCTCATGATGACAGAAGAATGGCCAATAAACACATGAAAAAAATGTTCATCCTCCCTAATTATCAGAGAAATGCAAATCAAAAACACTTTGAGATATCACCTAACCCCAGTGAGAATGGCCCACATCACAAGGTCCCAAAGCAGCAGTTGCTGGTGTGAGTGTATAGCTTCTATGGAAATTAGTACAGAGATTCCTCAAAGAAGTAAAAGTAGACCTACCATTTGACCCTGCAATTCCACTAGTAGGCATTTACCCAAACAACAACAACAAAACATTTTACCACAGGAACATTTTGCACTGGAATGTTCATAGCTGGTCAATTTACAATCACAAAGATATGGAAACAACTCACCTGCCCATCAACATATGAGTTAATAAACTGTGGTATATGTATACCATGGAAAACTACTTATCCCTAAAAAAGACTGAAATTTTTTTGTATCCTTTGCAATAAACTGGATGGACTTAGAGAACATTTCTCCTAAGGATCACAGAATTGGAAAAACAAGCATCACATACTTATACTTAAAGCCAATCTGAAACTAGGAGATTAACTATCACAGATTTTTATTGAGATAAAAATCTCAATTAAACTCAAGAAGGGGGGAGGAGGGGGTGGGAGGAAAGAGGGAAAGGACGGGGAAGGAGTTTAGTAGCTTCCTACCAATGAGTACAATGCATGGATATATAGCAATCTCCCTGGGTGCAGAACACCACTAAAACTCTGATTTTTACCTGCCATGTGTAAATTATATAACCTAATGGTTTATACCCTCATATTAATCTGAAATAAAAAAAGGAATGGGAAAAAAAAAAAGCCCAGGTGACTCTTAGAACTCTTCCATTTTCCTACACTTTTAGCAATCAACTTGGCCAGTGCCATCAGCGATGTGGTAGGATGTATATATGGGGAGTATGGAGAACCTGTCCCCTTAGGCATATAGAAATCGGCTTGTTCTGACCCATCCCTCCCTAGACATTTATGAGAAAAAGGTTCTCATCAGTTCCCTACTCATAATCAGCATTTTGTTTGCTGCAGTCCCAATCATATCCTACCTGAGGCCAGTTTTGACATGCACCAGCCTTCAGCACTGAATCTGCATTGCGTGTGCTGGCATGACATCAGCTGTCCTATCCCTAGCAGGATCTGTGAGGAGGGGACTTAACAATGGTGCTTTGAGTCACAACAAAGCCCCTTCCTCTGTTTAAAGATGGCTGACATTTTTTCCTTCTATTTAAATAAAAGAACATTTTTTATTAAAGCCATAAAGGGAAAAAAAGAGAGTTGGCAGGACTTGAGAACTAAAAACTGTGAGGGAAGAGTTTCAGAAAAGTTATAAAAGTGCTTTGTGGTCACATCTCTTGCCAGCTGGTTTTACAGTTAAAGCAGAGCTAAAGCTTACGCACAGAAAAGATAGAACAAATCTTCAAAAATTTTATGTCTTCAAACATGATTCTAAACAATCAAGAACTTTTCTAATTTTAAGCAGAGAAGGGACTGGCACAGGAAGTTATGGGAAGGGGTTGACAATGTCAAACCTAACACATTTGAGGACTGCAGGATGAGCTATCCATTTTTTATCTCATAAAGAATGCTTTTTACCATTACTTTACAGATATAGGGATTTGAGCCAAATACTTCGCTTTAAAAAGATTGAGCTTTCCCATCTAGATGGATCTAAAACAAATGATGGCTTTGCTCCCTTTAGATCTGTTTATTTCATTATAACGACTGTTGTAACAAACCATCTCCATGTACAAAGCCAGATAAGTAGGAAAGTATGAGAAAAGGAAAAATTTACCAGTTCTGTGGCCTCTGGATTGTGTTATAAGTCACCAGCATATGTAACTCATTTTCTAGTTAAGTAATTCCCTCTGGGGACTTGGTCTGCAATCCACATGAAGGATCAAATTTCATTAGCAGTTGTAGGAAAATGCAACCCGTGCATTTGCAAGTCAAAACTCCCCAAAGCCATAGCTAGTCTGGCTATCTTCATTGATTTTTCCTGGGAGAGGATTTTAGCTGATAGAAAACATTTGCTGGAAAGCACAGACCAGGAAGTTGAGAAGAAGAGAAGGGATTCAGCTAGCAAGGAGACAAGTAAGCCTCAGTCTTAATGTTAAACGCTGGCCTTAACTCAGTCTGCAGCTGTGTCCAAGCAGAGATTCAGCATTAACTCCACCCCCCTCCTCACCCCCAAGCTCCAAGTGACAAAAGACACAAGAAGACAAATGAAAAGGCAAGTGTACAAAAGCACACAATTCAATCTGTATCATATTTTCTTCATTTCTAGATATTAACTTGAATCTCATTGTAAGCTGGATTTAACATGAAATTGTGTTGGAGATTCGCAAATCTTCGCATCTATGTAAATAATTCATCTAAGACTTATTAACTCATCTAAATCAAAAGACACACTGACCATGTATTTTTGCATTTACCCAAAATGTCTAGATTAGACATTTTTGACTAAGAGCTTTGTTTAGAACTTGAATTGACTTTAAGTTCTAAACCTTCCCAATTCTTACCTTGGTTTGAGATGGTTCACCTTTCTCAAACATCATCTTTAGCCTGTTCAGGGGAACATTATATTTCTCTATTTTGCCTGACGCTTCTGTGTTTTCACTGATGTCAGACTTTTCTACTTCATGCCTGGATTCTCCCAGACAATTTTCCATTTTTTTACTTTCTGTTGTGCGGTCTTTAAGATCCTCACTGTCCTTGATGCGGGGATTCCAATACTGAATGGGAGCTCCAGGAGATGACCCCAATTTAGGTTTGGGGTGAATCTGTTCCTCTTGACCAGCCCGGGCTCCAGGAGCAGTGTTGCTTGTCACTTCAGCAGAAGGATGGTCGACTCTGTGCCTGATATCAGCACTGCTGCTGCGAAGAAAGTCTGTGTGAGTCTCCGCTCCCAGTCCTGGGTTCTCCCACTTCTTCTTTAACACAGTCAGGGTCCCCTTTCTAAAGTGCTGGGGGAGAGTTTCAGTGTTCTAGAACAAGAAATAAGTGCCAGTTATAACTTGCCTGCTGAAAACATTCAAACATGTTGTTCCTTGTAAAATGAAAGTTAAAACTCCAGGCTGCTCCGGGTCCACTGCTGTTTCAGACAGCTGTGAAGTTACGGCCCTGCCACATGGAGAAGCATCCACGCCAGAAGAGGGAGAGGGGAAGAGAGGAAAAGTCAGGAGCTGAGGCAGGAAGTGATAAAACAGGATAGCCTTATAAGGACAAAATGAGAAGAAAGGCGAGCCCAGCTCTAATGACAGTTGCAAGGGAGACAAGCGATTTTTATCCAAAGATTAATGGGGAAAACAAAAAAGAAAAAGCAAAATACCAGGTGCTTTAACCACTGTAACTGTGCATTAACAGAAGTTCATCATTACCTGCCACAAAGTAATGTGGTAAATTTGCTGTTTTCTTTCTTTCTTTCTTTCTTTTTTAAAATAAGACTAACAAAGCTGACACCACACGAAACCAATGATTACTGGTAGGAACATCAAGGATTATCACTATTTGTGGAAACCTAAACAAGTCAACAGACTTTTCCAAGTATTTCCATAAGTATTTAGTTATATCTGACATAATTTCCATGCATATGAACAAATTTTATTTTGACATAAGAATTTAATCTTCTTTTTTACCTGCATACATGTTTACCCATGTACCATATATAAAGTCTGAGATACCAGATTCACTATTTTACAGATCTTTTGGTTGAAAAATATGCAGGCTTCAAATGAAAATACCACCACCACTCAAACAATCAAAGGATACCTATTTATACATCTAAGAGGTCCACTTTCAATTGGGTCAAAAATGGAATTAATACATAAAATAGACTGAAAACAACCTGGAAATTGCCTATTATTGTTGTTCCACAATAATAGAGAAAATATGTTTGGTGAATTAATATTAAATGCTCATACTCTGAAAGTACTGTACTCCTAAATAAATTGAACAGTACCACCTTTCCAACAAACTGCAAACTCCAATACCTTCTTATTCTCCATTCCTGTAGTCTGTGACTCACCGGTCTTTCCACTAGGAAAGAAAAAACAAACAACCTAGGACTGAAAGACTTCGGGGAATTAAACAGGATTAGCAGCTATATTGGGAATTAAGTCTCTCACCCTATTACTCTTCTGAATACACTAGGAGAGCCACTTCATAAAATAGCAACAAGGCTTGCAAAAAAAGTGACAGAAGAACAACTGCTTGATTCTAGTGTTTAAATCTTAGGTTACAAGATGACCCACTGGGGATGCATGTACGGTTCAGAGATATAAGAAGCATAAAAAGTTTTCTTGCTAGAAAAGAAAGAATTAAAAACCAGCTCCAGAAGCTGGCGCTACCTTAACTGCCAGCAGCACTCTTGGTTCTGTATATCTCCTGTCACACAATGGATGAGTCATCTAGGTCTCTGACTTTACCTGCCCTACCTTGCCCACACAGGGGCCCTGAGAATCAAAGTGGCATTGAGCCTTGGGAACTGGACACTACTTTTCTCAGATACACATCATGTGATCAAAGTATACTTACTGACACAGAAAGATGCTCAGAAGATACTTTTGAGAGGAAAAAACAAATTATATGATAGCATGATCCCCTTTTATAAAATGTATGTGTATTATTAAGTGTAATGTGCATGTATGTTCTATAAATATAAGCAGACATTAGGATGTTAACAGGCTATCTTTGAACAGTGGGTTATGGGCATTTGTATTTTATTTGTTTTCTTTTTATAATAAATGCATGCTGATTGTATAATAAAAATGAACATAAAAGTAAAGTTACGGGTTGGGCGCAGTGGCTCATGCCTGTAATCTTAGCACTCTGGGAGACTGAGGCGTATGGATTGCTTGAGTTCAGGAGTTCGAGACCAGCCTGAGCAAGAGCAAGACCTATCTCTATAAAAAATTAAAAAAATAAGCCAGGTGTGATGGTACTTACCTGTAGTCTCAGCTGCTCAGGAGGCTGAGGCAGTAGGATTGCTTAAGCCCAGGAGTTTGAGGTTGCAGTGAGCTATAATGATGCCACTGTATACTTGTTAAGGTAACAGAGGGAGACTCTGTCTCTAAAAAGAAAGTGGGTGGGTGGAGGGGGGAAGGATGTTTGGTAGGATATAGCAGTGGAGAGTTGGAAACATGGACTATCTGTAGGTACAGCCTCCAAGGAAAGGAAGAAATTCCTCAGCTTAGAGTTTCTCAGAAAGTGGTTACCAGTATTATGGAACTGAGTGCCCATATGGCACAGATTGAGAAAGTAGCATACTCTATGCTTTGGGTATCAGCTGATGGTGGCTATTAATGGTCTGTGTTTCTGTGTCCTAGGTGGAAGTGGAAGATGGAGGGAAAAGGAGTAAATTTCTGAGAATCCAGGCTATCCTATATAACCCAATCCATTATTTGCTAAAGGAGCAAATTTACCCACTGTTTTCCCTGGAAAAATGTAGGAGTTTTTGTTTTTTACGAGACAGGGTCTCACTATGGAGTACAGTGGTGTAATCAAAGCTCACTGGAGCCTCAAACTCCTGGGCTCAAGCTCCCTGCCCAACTTAGGCTCCCAAGTCAGGCGTGACCTATGGTGCCCCACTCTAATGCTGGTACTCTATAACCTGGTCAGTTATTTCATAAATGTATGTGAAAACTTCCCCTTGTTCTTCAGGAGACAATTTAGACTTTTATAAATCTAGTAGATTTTAAAAGCAGCCCTCTGTCATTAACAGAAAAACTGGTGAAATGTGAAGAAAGTCTAACATTAGGGGAAGCTATTTTAACAAGTCTACATCCAAAATTATTTCAAAATGAAAAATTTGTTACAAAAGCAATAACACCTCCCCCCATATCTCCCTCTTGATATTGCTGTCTCCTGCATTTCACAGTTAAGGGTCCTGAAGGCACAGGCTGTAGTTGCTATTTCCACCTTCCACTCTTTAATTCTACTACCACAAACCTCTGAAGAAGCTCCAACCAAGATCACCAATTATCCTTTAACATTTTCATTGTCTAATTTTTAATTTATTATTTTTCTCAATTAAAAGTAGTAAGTTTGGGGGGAAAACTTACAATCAATATGGGAGTGTGTACCCATGACTTGAATAGATACTATCACTTTCCCTCCCTGACTCCTACCCCTCCCAACCAAGATACTCGCTGCCAACAATGGTGTACTTACTCAATTTTTTTCTATTTTTATACACTATATTTTTTCCTACATCAAATGGTTCTGCACTTTGCTCAATTTAACCACTTGATGTGCTTCTGATATCTTTCCATGTCCATACAATCTTTTTTTTTTTTTTTTTTTTTGAGCCAGAGCCTCAAGCTATCCCCCTGGGTAAAGTGCCATGGCATCACGCTCACAGCAACCTCCAACTCCTGGGCTCAAGCGAGTCTCCTGCCTCAGCCTCCCAAGTAGCTGGGACCACAGGCGCCCGCCACAGAGCCCAGCCATTTTTTGGTTGCAGCCATCATTGTTGTTTGGCGGGCCCAGGCTGGGGATTCGAACCCACCACCTTAGGTGTATGTGGCTGGCGCCTTAGCCGCTTGAGCCACAGGCGCCGAGCCTGTCCATACAATCTTAACCTTAAGTGTATTACAGTGTATGTATGTACCATAATTTGCCATTCTCGCACTGATGAGTATCTGCATTATCCAAATTCTTTGCCAACTATTGAGATTACAATTTATTATCTGTTACTTTAATTTACATTTATTTGATTATCAGTGCAGCTAAGTATTTTTTCACATGTTCATTATTTCTTCTTTAAATACCTGTTCACATCCATTTAGCTCAACTACCAAATGCAGTGGACACTTCTGCTTTATTTGATCTGACTATAGCATTTGACATTACTCATAACTTCCCCTTTTAAAATTCCCTTCCTGCCTGCCACACCCCTTTTTCCTAGAATTCTTTCCATTTCTCCGGCCACTACTCACATTTGTTTGTTTTAACAGCCTTCTTCTCCCCAGCCCTCCCTTATGTAGTTAGGGTCCCTTGAGGTTTTGTCTGAGGTCCTCTACATAGTCCCTGAGTATCATGACATCCATTCCTTGGTTTTACCCACAAGCTATCTGTTGATGCTATAGATTATACAGATTACAGCATCAACAGACAACGTTAGCCAATTATCTCTCCTTATCTACCAGTTCTACCTGGAAATAGGCATTTTACAATTATCTTTGTCCAAGGCTGAATTCTTCCCCTTTCTCCCTTCACTCCTCACTCTCTAACCTGTTTCTTTTCCTGAATTCTCCATCTTGGTGAATGTGACAATTGTCTTTTCATCTGTCAACTGTGCCTGTTCTTCCTCCTTCCTTCTGTGCATGTGCTGCTTCCTTTGTTTAGGATACACACTTCTGCCACTCCCTTGCTCCCATGACCCCTGGTCCTTCAGGATTCTGCACCTGAATCGTAAGAGATGCTCCATAGACATTTGTGGATTCTCACGGTGTTGACTTCTCTCATCCCACTCTGTCTTGAACCTGGTCCCATCAGGCCTTTATCTTAGCATTCTCAATGTGTGAGGTAACCAGTAACCATGTTACTAAAGCTGAGGTTTAATGCCCAGTTTATCTATGTTTGACTTTGTTAACTCTCCTTCTAGAAATACTTTCTTCACTTAGTTTCTGGTATCCCATTCTCTTGTTTCTACTACTATTTTACTGGTTGCTGCCCCTGAGTGTCCTCTGGGTTCCTCCTCATCTCTCCAACCCTTACATAGCCAGGTGCCCTAGAGCTCAGTCACAGGACCTCTTCTCTTCTCCTTAGGTCATCCCATGCATCTCAGAGCTTAAAGTACTACTGGTACTTCAATATACAGCCTGGATTTCTTCCAGTTCTAAATTTTTATATAGTGTCCAGGTTCCTAGTTAATATTTCTGCACTTGAATATCTCAGTAAAACACTTCATGTTTAACATGTACAAAAACTGAGCTTCTATTATTTCTCCCTCTCCAAACCTGCATTTACTATAGTAAATGCATCTTCCCCATCTCAATTAATGGCATTTTCATTTCATAATGCTTAGGCAAAAACATTTTGCCATTCTTCATTCTTCTCTTTCTCTCTCCTTCAATATAAATCCTGACCACTTCTTATTACCTATACTGCTACTACCCCAGTCCAAACATTATAGCTTGCCTAAATCATTACAATTATCTCTTTTTTTTTTTTTTTTTTTT